AAATCCATCCATCCATCCGTCCGTCCGTCCGTCCATCCATCCATTCTGATCCACATACCTCCTCCATTCATCTTTTTTGTAATTAATCCACGTAATGACCTTCACTTTTTTATGTATATTAGTTGAGCAAGTAACTCTTTGTTATTATTTTAGTTTCTAAATGGTCAAGGATCCTGGGATTGTTCATGAGCTTTATGCTTTTTAAAGAGCCTTAAGAGGAGGAATTTAACTGTTGATAACCGGGACCAGAAACCTAGAGCTGGGTGGTAAGCATGAGGAGAGGTGTGGTAGTTACTGTTGCATCTTAAAATAAATATTCAAATTTCAAAGCCTGTGAAAAAGAGGCTTCAGTTCTTCGAAAACATTTAAATTAAAGATAACGCCTTTCAACAAACAGATCTAATGGATCTTAGATTACAAGAATTAGTAAGAGTTAAGAACCGTAATGATATTTGAAACCTTTTTTTGACCTTTGTATTAGACTGTATTGCTCTGCAGATCCGGTCCTTTTCAGGCATTATAACAGTAACTGTTGATATAAACAGTTTATGAGCCTTAAGGTTGATTTGAAAACAAAGACAAAGGATTTTTTTGTCTGAAAAGCTTCTTCGGCTGTGCTGCTCTCTCTTGATCTAAAACGGGACGCGTTTGTGAGGATGGGTATCCATGTGCTGCTCACAGCTGGCTAAAAAGCACCCATCAGCTTCCACCACACATGAAAAAAAGAAAAGAGAGGAGTATGTGTTGTGGCAGAGAGCTTGAGGGGGGGCATGAACTGTTTTCACACTTGTCTGAGGACACACATGTCAGACTTGTTCAGTCCCACTGGTCAGAATTTACTTTTCAAAATGGCAAGGTTTGACCTTTTCAAAGTGGGAATTGTGTGCCAGATGTTTATGAGCAGTCAGTATCTTACCTCTGCCAGTAAGAGAGAAGACATTAAAGCAAATTCTTAACCTAACAAAGTGATGCTAAAGTTGTCAATCAGCTGACAGCTAGGATTTAGTGGGGGGTCCTATAATAATCTAATTTCATCAGCATTAATCCCCATTCCAATGTTTTGTATGCTCACACCAAGGGAGGGGCCTGCTGCTTTAAATTAGAACAAAATTAAACTACTTTTTACTTTTTTTTTTTCAATCTAGGGACATATATTGGCTTATCTGAAATAATACTCCTTATGTGAATCTATACATGAGCAATTAATACTACGACTCATACAGGCACCAGCTAAGAGCTGTTACATCTCTGCAGTTACAGTTACAATACAATCAGAGGAAACTGAGGAAAGAAAATAAATAACATAAATAATTGGCTCTGGTGCTGCTGATCTGCTGTTTGACGTAAACTAAAGTTTTTCATGAAGGAAAAAAACTGCATGTCTGCAATGTGGGCAGCGCCGTATTCACCGTGAGAGATGCTTTTTTTTGTTTCCCTTGTGGGGCTGATCTATGACCCAGTGGCTTTTTTCGCAGTTTAACCTCAAACTATTTCTGACTCCACGTCTGTGAACTCTTGCATAAGCAGAGATTCGTTACTTATACTGTAGTGGGTATAACAGACAGGTTGGGTTCCAGTAGTTATTTAACTTTTTTATTTCTTTTATAATTTCTAATCTTCTGTTCTTGTTGATTACCTTTTCTTCTCTAACTCCTTATAATCTTTTTATAACTGTAGCCTTTCCAATGTGTTTCCTAAGACAGATACAGATACAGCAACAATGTCATTAATTTTATTAAATCAACCGTACAACAAGGAGAACGTGTTTTTTGACAATCATATATCATATTATCATATAATTAACCATATATGGATTATTCCAAGATTATTGACAATATGACAATCATATATCATATTATCATATAATTATCATATAATTATATAATTATCATATAATTAACCATATATATATATATATATATATATATGGATTATTCCAAGATTATTCCAAAAAAGCTACAAAACAATCCACTGGACTTGGTTTCCAAGTTCGAAGACACTTTGCTTCCCATTCAGGATGCTTTTTCAGCACCAAATGTAAGAATTAGCCTTAAGTTTGAAGTTTTATATACTGTAGTAGCCCAAAAACTTGTTTTGGCTTAGGAAACATGCAAATGGGTCTGCCCCTAGGAATGAGGAGTCGTTTTGGGTGCTTCATAAGCCTGTTGTTAGTGTAACCCATAAGCCATTGTTCAGCTGACAGAGCAACTCACCTGGAGAAGCAATTGTACCAAAATTGTAAAGTAAACATTTTGCATTTAAGATAAAAAACTTTTTCGTCTGTCATTATGCTGTAATGAGAAATGAATGGAAAAGTTTTTCCACTTGAGGACCTTTTTCTATCAGATAATAAGTCAAAAAAAATGATTAATAGATTCAATTGTTTGGCAAAATAATATAAAATAATATAATATATATATATATATATATATATATATATATATATATATATATATATATATATATATATATATATATATGATATATATGGAGCCTTCACTGTCACAGAACAACGGAACGTCTGAAATTTGCTTAAACTGAGCAACACTAAACATTTTTCTTCAAATTCCTCTAAGTCTGGGAGAAAAGATGGTGAATGCTCTGAAATATCCAACAGAACCCCATTAAAAAAAACAACAAACAAACAAACAAAAAAGCGACCTTATCTATCCCCCATACAGAATGTGACAGGATTACAATAATCTGCCAGCTCCGTCTACAGAATGCCTCATCATTTGATTTGACTGCAGCAGTTTGGAAACTGAGAACAAATGGAAGCACAAAATCATGGCCAGGCCTTATATAACTGCACGCAGCAGTTAGACCTTATGAACAATCGTCCCTGTTTCTCTGCATCTCATCAAACACACATCAAACAGAGCGCACGTGTACAGCAAAGGCGGCCTGTTCATAAGAGACAAACATCAGAGCAGCACAGAGAGCAGCCAATGCGTGTTTGCGACTGTTTATGAGTCTTATTACTAAGCCGAGGTATCTCAGAGGGACATCTATCCCTGCGTGCTGCTCAGGATTACATCCATAAATAAATACATGCTTGTCAGTGAGGGAGTCAGAAGTGTTTGTTTCTATGAAAGGGATGACACAGCCATGTTATCGACAAGCTAGGTCATGTTAGATGATACAGAAATAGAGCGGATAAAGTGCACTTTATTTGCTGAGAAGCAGAGCACGTTATGGTGAGGGAGTTAATAAAAAATGGATTTATGAGGACGTCCTTTTAGAAAAGAGAACCAACATGAGAAAAGAAAAAAAGGGACTAATGCAACCCCGTGACTCATGCTGAAAGTTAAGCCGTTTCTTCATCACCCCTCCCAATATTTCACGGGACAAGGTCACAAGAGAAAATAAAAACAGACAATTCACAAGCTCTTAAATTACACATCCCGTCATTTGGAGCCATTTGCAACTCAACCTTGCTTTCATGGATAAATGCACCAAATGCCCTCCTACAAGAAAGCACTAATTGAAGTGGGGGGGATTTGTATTCAGCAGATGAAACCAGAGTTAAGAAAGGGGATACAAAATCCAGCCTAGTCCAGCTTAGCGGATAAGACCACCAACCTCCCTGAAGCAGACATTCTCTCCTACTATCCCTCCTTCCGAAATTACAACACACAAAACCAAACCCTCCTTCTGCTTCTGCAATGTCAAAATCCCACAACCGGGGTAACCCTTCTAATCAGGATGTGCAGAAAACGTGCAGCGCTTCCCATTTCCCGCTCTGCAGAGAGGACAGCATTACAGAACGTGCCCAGTTGGCTCATGACTGGTTGACCCAAATAAAAACGCTAATCCTCAGCAAACTGGCTCAGACCTCCACCACATTCACACATAGGCACGTGAATGAAGAGGAGTGAGCGCTACCCACAAAGGGTCAGGAGAGCAGAGATGGACATGCACAGTTTTACCGTTAACATTGCAAACAGAAGAACCATATTGCTCTGGAACAAACCTAAATTCAGACTGCATTTGTTTTTCACATGAGTGCAAAAGTTTGATATTTTTAAGATTATCTTTTGAGGCTAATACACTTTTACAGCTGAGATTTTTAGGCTTCACTTTACCACATATATGACCACCTATTGAAAAAATAGAGCCAAGTTGGGTTAAAGAAAAAGAGGAAAATATACTTGAACTCCTCCTCTTGATGCAGCGACTAACCCCTAAACAAAATGAAACAATTTCCCTTTTTTCCAGGGGTGAAATTCTCAGACATAGATAAGCAGACTGCCGTCCCAACACAACCCAGGGGGCACTGGATCTTAAGTCTGCTCTAGATCTAAAACCCGAATGACTCCTTTAGCAGCTCTGAAAGCTTAGAGATCTGGTCCGCTGTTTCATGGCCATGATTAAAGCTACGCTGTTCTTCCACCTCTCTGCATGGAGTCACCTTTCCAGGAGCAAACTTTCCAAGGGAAGCTAAGATGCTTGATTCCCAAATAGCTGTTTTTTTTTAGTAATTTGTGCAGGAAAGGTGTCCAGCCAGGGTTGCTGAGGCTGTGGAGGAGAGAATGGCTCACTGAGGGCCGATTTATACTTCTGACGCATAGCCTTTGCTATGCGTCAGAAAAAAATGAGAAAATAGTGCAAAGTAAAATCAAAATAGCTCTCCCTAGGCCCGGGGTTTTATCTGTAAAAACATCGATTTCAGGGTGTGTTACACTAATGAAATCTAATTCATACATATCGACTATTATGATCTGTTTAAACCTAAAGACATTTAATATCAGCGAATCACTCGATGCCATGTGAAACACAAACTGTTTCAAAAAGAATTGTACTTTCAGTCTAATACAGAGATAAATATTAAGATTAACAAAGTTTCTTGTCAGAAGGGAGGGATTTCCTTAAAGTAAACAGATGAATGACTCTTAATTATTCATTACTATTTTTCGATATTTTTGTGATTTAAAACCTTAGAAATCAATATTTTAAATTAGACAATCTCACATTGAAATGAACTGATTTTTTTCTCTCACCCACAGCTGGAGCATCATACTCCTCTCCCAGCAGGATTTCCGGAGCAGAATAAGCCAGCGACCCGCAGCTGGTGGCCAACATCATCCCCGGCTGGAATAAATTGCTGAATCCAAAGTCTGTCAACTTCACGGCGCCTTGTTGGGGGAAGAACACCACGTTTTCCGGCTTCAGGTCCCGGTGCACCACGTGCAACTGGTGGCAATACGACACCGCACGCACAATCTGAGCAAAGTGGCGCTTGGCGGTGGCCTCGGCCACGCCGCCCTCATGGCGCAGGATGTAATCGTAAAGGTCGCCGCCCTCAGCCAGCTCCATGACAAGGTAGAGAGTGGTGGGAGTGTCGATGACTTCGTAGAGCCGGACCACGTTTGGATGCTGCACCAGCCTCATACACCTACAGATACATAACAAGAATGAATACATTTATGTTTTAATCCATGAAATACCATCAGAAATAATGGCTCACTGAATACGAGAATGTTTTTGTAGAATGGATGTAATATTTTAATGATAACTTTTATCAGACAGCAGTTTTCATTGTAGTAGAACATTTACAATAAGGGTTATTTGACAGAAATATTTCTGCAAATAATATCCAATTTTATCAAACTTTAGCTGCTTAACCTTTTTATTTACATTACTATCATTAAAACTTTACACAATGAATGTTATATTATCTTTACAAAGAAAATCAAACTATTTTCATACAATTTTCCAACCTGTAGACAGGTTATTTCTGGTCTGAATCAATGGATATGCTATAGTTTTTCAATTGGGTTCAGGAAGCTTAAAGGTCCAGGAGGAGAAGCCCATCCTGTCTCTGGGTGGCATCTTGATCAGGATAATCACCCTTTCAACCATGAAAAGCAGGAGCTCTTTTGTTACCTCTAAGGCAGAGCCCAGTTGTGTTTCCATTCTACCCAAGAACTAGGTAAGGAAATTTTCCAGCCCAATTTCAATAATCAATTAGAATGAGGTGTCAACATGGAGTTACTAGCTATTGTCTGCTCTCAGGAGGTACCAGAGTCCTGATGATGCATGTCAAAACAACCTAAAGCTCTGCGTTCAGGTCAGTCTGACTCTGACCTTTAAAAGCGCAAGTCAAAACATAAAACTATGTTAGAAGCTATGAGTACTATGCTAACTTTAGCTTATAAAAACAATAACATGACCTGTTTGGTTGGTAAGCAGTCACTTTCAGACTGAACAATCATTCAAACATCTCTTTGCTTTCTTAGGTAGGTCCAGTTTTGCTCTCCAGCTCATTTTATTGTCAGGTGTGGAAGGTTGTGACTATGTTAAACCATATTGCGATTATTTTTGGATTTTCCTTTGCACTGGACACAATCAGGTAAATGTTCCACTACAGAGTTTTGGTCTTTTTTCATTGACTTGAAAGCTTGCTTGCCCAGAGTTCCTTGTTGCAGGATGTTACTCCAATGAAGATGTAATAAATTCTACTTGAATGCATGAATCCGCATGCTTGCTGCAACTCTTTCTTCCCTCCTGTGTGGTTGCAAACCAACTTTAAGCATAGCACCACCACCTTAAGACCTGGAGTGAGAAAGCTAGTTTCTTAGTCTTGTTCAATGTAATATGACTAAAATTGAACGCCTTTGCAATTTGTATAATTGCATTTCGTTTAATTGTGATTATATTGCAAATGCAATGAACTCCAGTTGTTACATAAGTTTCTTAATCTTCTTTTCCATAGAGCATGAAAAAGGGGATCAATCAGCACTGAACACTGTTGCTAGGTATTCATTGTTTTTATCTCTTTTGAGTCATCATAGCAACATCCTGTTCAGCAGCTGGGTCTCTAGGCCACTGCCTATGAAGCCTATGGCCAGAATGCTAGCATAAATGTTGCCCTGGACAAGACTGTCTTTTTGCGCCCCTGATAGATAGATAACAGTTTCTTTAATCTGTTTCGGGTTTCACTATAATGCCACCCTGGAAAACTGCTCAATGGATTTTGCAAAACAAAGTGATCTAACTCAGAAATATACAAAGTGAATAAAAAATGGTTATATATAAAGTTTTAAAGTCAGGTATGAACACACATAATCCAGTTTATAACACAATGTAGTCAAGTTTAGTTTGCTTTTTCAGAGTGCATTCACGAGGCCTGTCTGGTTTCAGATCTCTTCTCTTGATGTTCAAAACTTGTAAACTGTTTTTCTTCTTCCACTCAGATGTTCTACTCTAATGTCAAATCATCTCTGTACAAATGTAAACATCCCAAAACAGCTTTAGTAACCATGCCTCAAGTCCCTGGATGACGTACTCCAGGACTCTGGGCTCTAAAACGCTCCAAAAGTTTGGTGCGAAAGGACTTTAAGGAAGCCCCGGCAAGCGCATCACGACACTGATGTTACAGCAAGAGTGGGGTGACAGAAGAGAGCTGATTGCATGAGTCATGAACTCCCTCATACCAAGGATGCATGCGGTTACAGCAGAAAGGAAGAACTTTTTTTCTAAACCACATCTTCAGTATCAACAGGCCCAGTAAATGCTGCACTCTTCTGAAAACAACTGGAGGTTTGAGAAGACAGAGTGAATCAGTTCAGGAACACAGAGCCAGTTAATGGACTGTTTCTCCTCTTAAAATAAAATAAAAATGAAAATAAAAAAAAACAAGCCATTGATAGCAAACTCTTTAAATCTAAATCAATCTGTTGGTATCCCACTGCTAAGCTAATTTAATTTACAGCAGAGTGTATGGCGCTAAAATTCAGGCCTTTTGGGTCATGTTATTTCCTTTCTTGTGGAAAAAATATACATTTAATTACAGGGAGTTTTTTTTATTTCCATTTTAAAATTGTCTGACTTAGGTCAGCTGCTGAGCTACAAAAAATTGATAAAAAAGCAGCAAACGGTAAAGCTTTATTATAAAAAAATAAAATCATTAACAATTAATTTGTACTTTATCATTCTAAATTCTTATGATTATGACTTCTATTATCTGACTTGGACAGCTGTATACATTCATTTAAACTGGGTCTCTCTTGAAAACAATAACATATATTTGAACTAATTTGACACTAAATATCTATTAATAATAATTTCTTACTTGACTTCCTGTAAGAGGTGGCTTGTTGCCATGACGTCCAGCTTGGTCTTGTCGATCATCTTTACAGCCACCAGTTGCCCTGTGTTGACATGACGGCCCAGTTTCACCACAGCAAAGTGGCCTCTTCCCAGCGTCCGGCCCAGATGGTAGAGGCCGCTGAGATCCAGGCGACCGGAGAAGCCTTTGGGGTTAACAGGCCCATCCAAGGCTGGGGTCAGGTCCCCAGAGGAGTCCATGGTTCAAACAAAAGAGAGGAGGGAAGCTGACTGTCGATGATTCTGTGATGCAAAAAGCTCCTCAATGCTGGGGGGTTGCCTAGCATAATAAAAAAAAAAAGACAAAACAATTAAACAAAACGACTGAGACTAATTTTGGCCTACGGCCCAAAGAAAGAAAAGGCTTTAGACGAGGTCAGCTGCTGATGTTAATGCCCTATCGCTCAAGGCACCAGACCAAAAGTAGACCAACGTTCCACTTCATTTAACAAAGGCACAGACGACAGAACACGTTTAGATTAAGCACTGAGACCGGATTATAGAATTATAGTATAATCTGAGCAGCAGAGGGAGAAATATTCTGTTCTAGTCTCTTATGTTCGAGGGCTTCTGTTTGAGCCCATCTCAAATATCGTCCTCCAAAGCACAAATGGTAAGTTGAATCAATACTGTAACAAGAAACCGTAATGTATAATGGGGCTCATGTGCAGGAGAGCATGTGTTTATGTCAGAAGATGACATTAAAACCTGGTGATGTCATCATAGTATCTCCCCCCAGGGTGGTGAGTTCTTCACCATCATCTTCATCATCACAATGATCAGCAGCATCATCATTGTTTTTATTTGTTTACCCCAGAAAAACACTCATAAACCTTAAGGTGCTTCTTTTCTATTGAGCTGGTTGTGGAAAAAGGAAAAAAAAATTCTGGCTGTTATGAAGTACGGTGGAGGATCAGTGATGCTTTGGCCTTTTCTTTTTCTTTCAAAGAACTTGATAAAGCTTTTTTTTTATATTCCTGGTTTCTAACAGTTCAGGAAATTGGAAAGTTTAAATCCTGTAGAGCAGATTATATCAAAATTAGGGTTGCCAATTTACTGATATCTTAAACCTGATATTAATTCCCACGAACGGGTACAATACAGGAGGCTAGTTTTGATACCATGTGGATAAAAATATTAAAAGGCATAAAGAATACTTTTATCAAGTAATGGTTTTTTAATCTCAACATGGGACAAGCTTCTCTCAACAGAATCACAGATTGTTATATAATCACAAAATCTTTCCTAAGATCAAAACAAAAAACTCTTCTAGAGCATTTTCATGTCACAAATTCTACATTTTAGTCAGTTTTGTTTTCTGAGCTTGTTTTGTTTCCCAATACAGATTTCTTTCTGTGGTAGTTTATATTTATTTTCCTTTTTTGGGACATTTTTTTAAATGTCTTAGATCTCGTCTGGGTTAGATTCAGACATCATTTGTGCAAATATTCAGTGTACTTTATACGTATGTTTATGTTTTGCAATCTTGCAAGGTTCATCCAGGTATTTTATTCCTCTAAGCTGTGATTTTGCACCACCTTTTAAGGCTAATGTCCTTGTTCTACAAATAAATCTTGAGTAGCACAATCTGGCTGCAGACGTTCTCCATACAGGAGCTGCAATTTTTAAATGAGTGTTGTGTCTAAAATGTAACTTTACATTAGTTTGTGGAAACAAAATGTACAGATCTACAATTTTACTCTACAATGAAACAATGTTTCTGTTGGAAAGAGCAAACCTCCATTGAAGACAAGATAGAATATCTTGAAGAGACTGGGATAGGACCATCGTCTCTCTCAGTCTGCAGCTCCATATGAAATACTGTATAACCTCATGGTTTAGGACAATCATACAAAAGGTGAGGGGTCAGACCACAACTGCACAAGAGGAGATTATTAATGATCTGAAGGCAGCTGGAAACACAGTCACCAAGAATATCACTGGCAACTATCTATAATGAATTTAAATCTTGCAGACACATAAATGCCACATTTAAAAAGATGCCTAAGATTTTGAACATCGAAGCAATTTAGAGGTAAAGGAAAAAATACAGTAATCAGACAAATAGCCAGAATGGGACCATAAGAGGGGTTTAGTCCAGCATGGTGATGAAAGTATTATAGTGTGGTAGTATGCATCTATTAAGGATAGAGAATACATTTATTACATTATGTCAAAATGAGATTCACAAAAGTAAAATCAAGCATATAGTAAATAAAAATAAACATTTCTTGGGTTTTTAGTCACCAAAATAAAGCTCAAGTAGCAAGTGGCTAAAAAGAAGGACTTTAATGTTAGGAGATGGTTAGCACTGTATCCAGGCATGTTTCCAGGCTGCAGTTACAACTGAAGGATTGCAGTCAAAAATATCTCCTTCAAAGTAAACGCATCTGGTGACCGTCTCAGATAATGTATTTTGCTGTGCACGCCATCAATGCTATCTTATGCTGTCAGTGGGTGAGAGGTGGGGTAAACCCTGGACACATCGCACAGAGACAAACAGGACAAACAACCATTCAGCACAATTTAGAGTAGTCAATTAACCTAACAGTCATGTTTTCAGGCTATGGGAGGAAGCTGGAGTACCGGGAGAGAACCCACACATGCACAGGGAGAACATGCAAACTCTAAGCAGAAAGACTCTTGGCTGGAAATCGAACCTGGAACCTTCTTGCTGCAAGGCAGCAGTGTTACCCGCCAATGAGCAACCCACTTTCTAATGTCATGTTTTGTTTTGTGTTATTGAGAATCAAATGATTATTTCATTAAATGCCAGGAAAATGAATTTGATGTGTTCTTGATTGATATCTTAGTTATCCTCAGATCCTCCAATATATAAAATCCTAAGCCAATCATTTATTATCAGCAACAAATTTATAAACAAAGCAGTTTATTATTCCTCCTTATTCAGTTTCCACTTCTTTTCTCAGCTGTTTTGCATCTATTACCATAACAGATGTATTATTCCAGTAATTCTAAAGTTTTCCTGATGATATTGCATCTTTTACTGTTTATATTTTTTGATTTTGATCCAGTTGTTTTCTTTGTCTACCTTCAGCATATTTTTAGCTGTTTATGTTTCAGCTTTCATTCTTTTAAAATAAATCTAAAGTTTGACACCAGGTGTATTTATCTCCCCTTTAAGAAAATTGCTACTCACTCCACTAATGTAATGTTGGATTGACTTTCTCAAAACAATCTTTTTGATTAATGAAGCTTATTTTATAACCAAATGTCCATTTTAGCAGCTTTAGTTTGGTGTTATCATTCTGATCATCATCGGTACTTCATCACTTGCAGCGTCATCTAGCAGAGCTGCGTTATCAGCCTCTTCATCGCCCTTTAACAGCTTCATTGGGCCAAATCCTCGCTTAAAGGCCTTCTTTTGAATCCCATTAACACTGTTACAGCATCCTGTATGTCGATATATCTGCACCAGCCTCCAGAACCGGAGTTGAGGCCAGCTGTTCTAACTGCAGTCCTAAACTTGGCACCCAGTCCTGCTGAACAGCTCAGCCTCCGCAGCGCTCATCACTCCGGCAGACAAACAACAGCAGAGGCGCTAACTTACCATTGCTGCGCAGATGTCCCGTTATAACAGCGCGCGGCTCCTGATAATGTCCTCTGCCTCCTCAAAGCCTCGGTGTCACCGCTGAATTCAGACGCGGAAATGAGCGGCGTCACCTCCTAGTTCTGCTCCTTCGCTGCGCGGAGGATTCACACTTTCCACTTCTTCTTCTTCTTCTTCTTGTTCTGAGCGACTCTCTCTAGCTGAAGAGTCGCGCGCGCGCTCCACAGCAGCTTAATCGATGTAAGCCAAGCGTGCACGCGCAGCAGCTTCCTTCTGACGTCACTGCATTCCAGCGCGCCCCAGCAGCGGCGGTGCGGCTCGGCGCGGCGGCGCGCCTCTTGTAAAGGAGAGGAAAATAACTGAATGAACTCATGTGAAGTCCAAGAAATTATGTAACTGGCCCGCATGCGTTTGTTCCTTTAATTACTTGAGACATAACGATCCACAACATCTGTTATTTATTGACACTGACTAATTATGAACAAGGCGATTCTTTGTAGCAGTGCTTTGCATTGTTGTTTGAGGCCAAGGGCAGCCACTTTTTGGTCTTGTCATATTTTGCAAGTTTTGAAGTCTGATCTCAAGTTTGAACATTTTGTATATGTTCTACAACATTTTGCACCATATTTATATTTTTTGCACTGCACTGACCCTTTCCATATCAATGCCTTTTGCACCATGACTTTGAACTGGTTTTCCTTTTCTCCTACACTGTCTACATTCTTGATCAGTGCTGCACTTTATAAATAGTAATGTTCATTTTACTGTTGTAAGCTGCTCATTCCCTGTTGAAAGCTATATGCATCGAAATTTCCTTTTTTATATACTTTGTGTGTACATGATGACTAGAAAGTTGGTCAGGGTCTAAATCTATGTCTAAGTTATGTGCAAATCTTATGCATGTCAATGTTTTACACATTACAGAGAGGACATATTGACTATTTATCACTATTTTCAGCTCTGCTTAGAAATTTTGTATAGATTTGATTTGAGGGCTGTCTGATGCTTATTGCCATTGTCTATAGCCATAGTGTTAGAAGACCCATTTGCACCCAGGCTTCAATTATTTTTTCAGTTTTTTTATTGACACCTCTTTAAAAAAAATAAAAAATAAAAAATAACAATGCAAACTGATGCCCCAAACACCATACTTCACAGCCTTGTTTAATCCCGACACCTCATTTAATTGAGACTGTGGTAAAAAAAAGTTCATGTTATGCTGTTTCTAAACATTAGGTGTTGCTTCCCAACAGTTAAATGCAGGGTTTTCCTCTTCCTTTGTCCATCTGAGTATTATCTTCTTCCTTTATCTGCCTTTCACTGTCTTTTTCCTTCTCTTTTTAATATTTTTAGATAATTTAATTTCTTATTTTCACGCATACTTCTAGTAATTTATTGCCATCTTTGGTCTACTCAAGCAATGGACACTATGCATCTTCTTTTGGTTTAATAAATATTTTTACTATAATTGTTTTTTGTGGTCAAAATGTCTCATGTTACTGTATATACTGATCTACCTTTAACTGTGATATTTCCTTATCGTCTCTAACCTAATTTAGCATTTTGGTTTACTGTATTTTTTTTTCTTTTTATCATTTCTGCAGATCTAGTCTTTACTATAACATCTGTTTAAATGATTTTCATAAGCATTAGGGACTATTAACTTTTTAACATCTATGTCTTTAGTTTAATGACATGCATTAGTCTGAATGTGTGCATCGATATTTGTAAAGGCTTGATGTTTTATGTAAGTTATTGAAGCTGAATGATGATCTCATCCCTGTTGTCCTTTGTCTCCAGTCACAATATATTTAACAACAGAATGATAGTGCCATCTAGTGTCTTTTTCCTCTCCATCTAGGTTTTGGTCTGGTTCCAGGATTTTAAACTTTTAAAGTCCAAAAAAGTTTTTGCCCTCATTCCATCTAAATAAAAGATGTTTACAGCCACAGATGTTGCATAATTTAAATTGAGACGATTTATAATATATCCCTATGAATACTCAAATAGTTATAATCAATCTAAAAGGTTTTGCAAAAAGTGGAGTGGATACTTTTTCTTTTATAGGACATTGTTATGTTTTAAAATGGGAAGAAAATGGGAAGAAAAACCAAAAAGTTAAGTTAAGCAATTTAATTAAAGATATACTTTATTTGTCCTAAGGGACAAATTAAATGTTCCTACCTAATCACAAAAGAGTGATAAAATAAATAAATCTGAAATTCCAATATAATACTTTCAGTGGCATTTTTTAGTAGAACTTCAATAGAAACTTTTACATTTATAAATCAGTCTTTGGGGTTTTGTCGTTAGCTCCATCTAGTGGTAATATAAAGAATGACATCAACAGACAATAAATGCTGGAGTCCCATTTGTTTGTACAAAGATAAAAGGGTCAGAATTTTGTAGGGAATATATATAAAGTGAACAACAACAAGCTGTAAATAATATCACTATATTATTAACTTTAAATCAATGCAAAATATGAAGATAAATAAGTGCAGATACACTCTATCCATCCACCCATCCATGCATCAAAGGGATCAGAAAGTGTCTTTGTTCTGCAAGAGAAATATAGTTCCTATGTTTTGAAGAAAGAATGTAGAAAAATAAGCCGTTATAAACCCACTGAGTTACGATAAGTACTTTGTAATTCTGGGATAGATCGCCAACCTTTAGGTTACAGGATATAATTTCCTGGTTCTTGGAAGAAACACTGGAGTATCATTATAACCAAATTACCTGTGGATTCTGGATCCTAACATTGTGATCTAGAAAATATCATAAAGTCCAGAGATTGACCTCTAATCTCTTTATAATTTGTAAAACATGGCCATATTTTGTAAAGTAACCTACATTTTCTTGCAAGTGAATTGCATATTTTCTATAAAAATAAATGAATACAGAAATAAAATGACCTGTATATTTGAAAAAAAGTACCCTGCAAATTTCAGCAGAGGTCAACATTGGTGTACAGGTGCAGTAATCTCTTTCCAAACAGTAAACTTTTCATTAAACTCTGAAAAGTTAACATACATGTAAGCTCTGAAAACTAAGCTATGGGTTCTGGGAAGTAATTCCTAAATATATAACAGAGAAGATCTAATATTTATCCTTCAAATTCATTGGAACTAGTCGTTGGTTACAATGACTATATACTGTAAGTTTAAAAAATACACATCTACTATAGTCTTTAAATTATGTACAAAAAACGACTAAAACTTAATGAAGATCACTTTGTTCTGAAACATACTCTAAATGACAATGAATGATTTAACTTGCAGATTACAAGAAAGCAAGATTTAAATTAAGTTAAATCCTTTTTTCTCAGTAATCATTAAACACATTTTTTTTATTGAAAATATGTTGTATTTTATAATTTAGAGTGTTATATTGCAACTTGAAAGTCAAAAATCAAAAAGAATAAATAAACATAATTTTTAAAACTATAATAATCACCTAGATCCCAGTCAGCGAGTAGATGTTATGATCAATAGAGGATGTAAGGTTCTCTATAGTAAAAAAAAAAAAAAAACAGTTAAAAAAAATAAATTTTATTCTTAACACAAAGAACAATAAAACACAAAAATCAAAGTTGCAGTAAAATACAGCAAATGTTAATAAATACACAAGGAAATAAGAATTATTTTGGTACCTTGGACTGTTTTGTGAACTTTGTGCAAATATATATTTCATAAAAATAAAATTATGTATCTATGAAACACTTACAGTAAGTAAACAAATGCAGCTGATTATAAGGGTAAACACTATGGACTCCCTGCAATGTAAACAGTCTATTTTCTTCTGTTATTTTTCTTTCTTTTTTAGCATGCCTATAGTGTCATCATATATTTCCATAGCAATGTGATATGTCATCCTGAGTTAGTGATTGAGAGGCAACAATGTTTAAATCCTTCAATTTTCTGCAGATTCAGATCACTCCTCGAATCCTCTCTCTGGTCTCAGGGCCTCCGTCAGTCTTTCCCGCATGATCTCTTTGGTCGAGTACAATGGCAGCTCCAGAATAAAGTGACACGTCAGAGACTCTGGGAAATGCTGGTCATGGGGGCCGCTCAGGACTTGTTTTGGTCGAATTCTCATCTTGATTTGGTCCATGCCCATAACAGGAACTTTCCGGAACCCAGTCAGGAACCCTAAAAAGGACCAAGTCAAATCTTGATGTCATGTGCTTCTGTTGTATTCCTGACTAGGAAATTAGAAAATATGGCTCTAGATTACAACAAAATACACTATAAACATACAAGCATTTCACACCGTGTCAGGGTACTACTATGATACCACCATCATATCTATCATTATTATTTTAAATTCCCTTTGGGATTAATAAAGTGTTTTTGAATATGAATTAAACTGAATCAGATCTACACTAGGAATCTCATTACTTTAGCTAATAAACAAAACAAAGTGGTGACTGATGTCACTAAATTAAATGTCCCGATATTCCTGGAAAATATGTAGCTGCATTTAAAAATAAAATGGTTAGAAAAAACTAATTTGGGCCAAATTAGTCTGTTTCTCATTGAGAAAAAAAAAATTAAAAGTACATTAAGATGATGTTTGCTTGAAATAAGAGCAGTGTAAGTACATTTACCAGAATTTAATGGAATCAGTGACATTTTACATTTATGTTTTCTTTGGTCTAAGCTTTAAGCAAAGCAAAAGAAAAAAACACAAGACTACTTACAAAGAAAGTCTTTTTTCTGTTCTTCCTCAAGCTCATCGAAAACCTCCCAAAACATCTTTATTACTGGATGCCTTCTGTCAATCCCCTCATACAGTGTGTTCTGCACAGAGTAAAACATGTTTAGTGAGTACCGGTACATGTTTTTTATGCTACATTTGTAAAGAATGTGATGGTGAAAAACAGAAAGCATTTAGCTGAATGTACCTGTTTGAATGTTGCCCAGTCATAGGTGCCTCCACCCACCAGCACTCCCTGCAGCTCCTCTGGTCCAAAAAGCTTCACCAGCTGTTGGTCACACACCTGGAAGAAGCCTCGCTTGAACTCCTGAAACACGCTCTCCACCGACTCGTTGAAGGCATAATTCACATAGGCATCGACAAACTCCTTCCTGTTTAGCAGACAGATTAAATTAGCCAACTAATTTGTGTTAATTAACACTGAAATATTTTTGATTTGCCGGACTCACTTATTTTGCTCTGTGACCAGCTTTTCTGGATTTCTTGGATCGAGGTCAACATCTTTCTCATCCCAATTAATCTGAAAGTAAGGAGTGAACAGGTTTGTAAAATCATGTGAAAAACACTAAAGCTTATAGAGAATACATATGAATACCACCAACCTTAAAGTCTATGAACAGGCCTTCCAGGATATCATCTTTATAGTTCAATATTTCCTGCAGAGTTCTTCAAAATGACACAATCAAAAAGTCATTAAATCATGTAGGAGTTATAATGCCAGCAGGAGACTAAAATATGTTCTCACCGTCCAACTACTGGGCTGAACTCCATCATATCCTCCAGACTCGGTTCTTGATCGAGAAGCTTTTTGAACAGAACCAGTGGGACTGGCAGCTTTATTAAGCTGCCATTGTATAAGGCCAATCCACACAGAATCCCAAACAGGTGAAACTTTGCCCTGTCCCTTTTTGCTACCTACATTGATCAAAATATAAAGAATAAGAATCTTTTAGTTAGAATTAAATCCTGTGAAGGTGAATAAGAACCTCATCTTACTCTGGAGGAGAACCATGCCAGCGTTCCAGAATCGTTCAGCATGAACATCCCCGGGTGTTTTTTCACAATGTCGAGGTGGTGGAAAAAGTCGTACATGTAGACTCGTGTGTCTTTTGTGTCTCCATTGAAATGCACCTGAGAAATAAGTTAAAAATGTTTAAATAACAGGGAGAGCCCTCTGAACTTTAACATGTTGGTAAAACTAAAGACTCACCAGGAGAGGTTTCTTAAGCTCAGATTGATCAGCAGCCGCCAGCTGAGGGAGGGCATCTTCCAAAAGGGAGGAGCGGTTCAGATGCAGTTCAAAACAAGGATTTGACTTTGGGAGAGGATGAAAAACCCTCTTCATCAAAGCCTGGTGTTGAGTCTAGGGAACATTTTGAATTTTAATGAGAAAATAATAATCAAATTGTTGGTCTGTTCAATCCACTACAAGTAAGAGACACACACAAAAAAAAAAAAATAAACTTGCAGGTACTGAGATTGTCAAATAAATTTAGGTTTTAATTATCAGCAAAGAGAATTCTAAAACAAAACAAAAAAAAAAATAAACATGTGAGCTTTTTGCCTTATCAGAGACGTTCTCAAAGATTATCAACCAAAAAAAAAATAAAACCTGAAGCTGGGGATAAAACCTCAATAACAAGCAGTCCACCTGTGCCTACATCCATTTAGCCCTGGGAAAGGTATGCCACCGTGAAGTTGGAACAATCACATGGATAGGCAACTGATATAACCAAAGGACAGGTTAAGTATGTTTAGCAACAGAAGCTAATACATATTTTTATTGAACTAGACCTTATGGATTTATATTTAATCTTAATATATGTATTTTAACATCTTTATTTGGTGGTCTCTCATATGACAGCCATAAATGCCTTTGAATTTTCTTCAATTTCGCATCAATAGTGTGACATAAATAATACTGACTAGACTTATATTAACTGGTCAAGAATGTTGAAACTAGGGTTGCTTATATTTGAGATTGAAAAGATACTGAATGGTTCTACGCTGATACAACAGAAGCAGTTCACTCATTAAGGTAGTTTATTGAAACATAAATAGGATGGTAAGCAATACATTTAAGAAAACTTCTGTCAAAAACATAAGACACACTATCAAATTAACTTCCTACATAAATAAAACAGAAGAAATTGTAATGATCTTTGAGAATCAAATTATTAGGAAAATATAAAAATATAAAAATGTTTCTATTTAGAGTTTGAGGACAGTGCTTATTTACCTTAGTCAAATTAGCGTTAATATCAAAAACTGCTTTCTTTGACTTCAGATCCATAACAAATGGGAAATCACAGAGGATGACGGGTGAATTATCTTCAGTCTTGGGGAATTAAAAACATGTACAAACAAAAAGATAGTAATTTTTAAATTTTTTGTTAAAATTATTTCACAAAGACAAAAAGAAAAATGTACATATATATATATATATATATATATATATATATATATATATAATTTTTTTTTTACCTTCCCATTTGACATTCCTCGCCAAAGCATCAGATCCTCTTGAAGAAAAATTATGTTAAACTCCACACGAAATATCTTTTCAGGAATTTTGTTCTGGTTTGCCTTTGGAAACGATAATCACATGCAGCGGTAAAAAGAGTAGCCAGAGGTAGAAAAGCACTTTTTGGGAATAATACAAGGTTCGTTTGATACTAACCTTGTACATGTTCTGAAGGATCAGTATGATAGACCTGTATGTGGAGCGACTACATGGCAATGAGAGGGCTGCCTTCCAGGCCTCTACATGTCTGACCATTGTAGAGGATGGTTGTGAGCGCCACCAGACTCCTGAGGAGGAAAACGCTGATCAAAAAGAGTTTTTTTCCCCCAAAGATAGTCTGACACTGAAATATAAACAAGCGTATTCGAATATTTGATTAGGTTCATCTATGCTATGAACTAGGAGCCAGGTTTGGAGTATTCTAACACATATTTATTTACTATTTATGGTTGGCTCCTGTTATCCTGGAATGTCAGCCTCAGCTCCATTCCTAACTACCTCCCAGTCTATAAGAGTTTTTTAATGTTCAGTTTTTCTTTCATGTCTTTAGCTCTCTCCATCAAGTTGGAACAAAGTTGTATTTAGGAGGGAAATTACTTTTTTATTTTCCTTTGCACATAGGGTTTTGCAGGTAAGACAGCAACATCTAATTAGCCAAAAATTTGTTAACAGAATAACTGAGGCTTATGCTATTCATTTTTTCCTCCAAAATGACCAGAATATGTGATATGTATACGTATATAACATATTCTTTTCCTTCTTTTTGCCAGAATCAAAAATGCTGATGCTTTAAACAAGAATGACACACTTAGATGATTTTATGTATTTTTAATAAGCTATGTAGTAACCCGCTGATTTACCAGTTGCTATAGACGCACACTCTTAGCTGTAGGAAATTATGCTTAATTACGTTGAGTTAAATTTATTGGGAGTCAATAATACAGCGAGAATATTACACTTCAGATAATAAGATCCCTGCTAAAGTTTCTAAAAGTAATGAACAGATATCTGAAATTATAAATTAATTATTAACAAACGATTCTGATTTGCCTAAAGTTCAAGTCTCAATCATGGATTTACACGTTAAATGATATTGCAGTCTGTAGGAGCAACACTGTGGACATCTTTTGCTATATTATTCATTTATTCTTACCGATAATAACTATTTTCATTACTAACGTCCTTTTTTCTGCTTGAGCCACGGATGTTACCTCTTTAAATATATCAAAATCATGGGCGGATTTTTTTGGGAGGCAGTGCCCCCCTGGCGGCTGAAATATGTAATGACATGATAAAAATCATGCCTATGATAAAAATCTAACCTTTGATAAAGTTGGAAAGTGAAAAACCTTTGGAATAATAAAATTCACAAAGCCTGAATGTACCAGTGTTTTCATACATATATGGGCATGGTAACTTATGAACACATTAGCATGAATCACAATAAATTCCGACTGTACCTATAATCTGGAGGCTTTCCGGTGGAAGTTTTTGGAAGGCAGCAACAACCTCCCCAAACAGCTTAAAGCTCTGAGGTCCATATTTTTTTTGAATTGCATGAAGAAGCTCATTCAGGACCAGGAAGACCCTCAAACCCTCCACTCCCACTGGCTTGTTATTAAGAGAAGGAAGCAACATTAGAACCGCATTTTCCACCTGTTAAAACATACAAGAAGCATCAGTTTATAAGTTACATATCTCCCAAAGCTGCTCAGGTTTTAAATGTGCATATTTTCCCTTAACCTCTTACTTCGTCTTGAAGAATATCCTCTTCAATTAGGTTTTCAAACTCTCTTTTCGCCAAAGATAAGTCCAAACCAGGATAGTTTGGTGAAGTCTGGAAATGTTTGTCTTTCCTACAATAAATAAATAAAAATCCAAATAAAAGAAGAACAGGTACAAAGAAAATGTTGATTATATCCTTGAAGGTCTGTGTGTACCTTTGGTCAAGAAAACTTTGATTCATAATTGAAGCGGAGGAAAATGTGGAATGAATTTCCCTGTAAAAAATGAAAATAAAAATGATGCAGTAAATTTAAGATTTCTCAGTCAAATAACTTAGCTGGTACCTAAACACCTAGTAAGGAATCTTTCTTACTGTTTTGTCACTTTCCACAACTTTCCATCACAATCAGGGATCCATTTAGCCACCATTCTTTCAATCGGTCTTTGTTTTGTGTCGGCTTTTGAGTTCGATCCATCCTGGGGAAAAAAACTTAAATAAAATCTTCCACAAAGTACTGACCTGACATTAAAGGATAACAATAACATAACACCCTTGAGAGGTTCTCCTCTGTGACATTGTGCTGTTACCTCTTTAGGTCTCCAGGTTGCAAATGAACAATCCGGTCCAGCGAAGATGTCCTCAATTCTGTGACCATTTGTGGCACCTACACATCATTAGTACAGGTTATTAACTTTTTAGGTTATTAAATGAACAATATTGATTTGAATTGAAGCAACTGCATGAAGCTGCTGCTGTTCCAAATAAGGCTGTTCTATCTGTAACATTTTTCTAGCACTATAAAAACATATTGCTTTAGGCAGAGTCCTATTTTTGTGTTTAAAAACGTGAAAATAGTATACTGCAATGCAGATATGAGATGTAGTCATTTTTAAGCTATAAACTGTTGCAAGACAGTTGAATCTACATCCCTTCCGAGTCGGGTCTTCTAATGCCGTTAATGTGAATGAGGTGCAGGTAAAACATCATTATTAAGGGATTTCTCTTTACTTTATTAAACCTAGCAGGACTTACAGATGGGCAGCTGTACAGGTAATGGGACAGATAAAGAATTGTCTTCACGCCCCAGCTGCTGGTGGTCATTACAACCAAAGGAGTAAACATTCAGAGGATCAGTCAGCACTAATGTGTGATACCTGGAAGAGATAGAAAAGTGTAAAGACAGTTTTTTTAATTAATACATGTTAATTAAAAGACATCTTCATGCAGTCAGACATGGGGTTCTGTGTAATTTTATTGCATCTTTTTTGTTTCATGCCTTTGTCTCTAATGCGGAATAATTCAGCTTACAAATTGAAGAAATATTTCATTCTGACTGCATACTTACCCCGCTTTTTTGTCTGAATTATTTACATAGATTTAAACTGGCTTTTTGATTGGGAGGAATCTGTTTTTTAAGTATATTTTTATCTGGGTTTCAGTCAAGGATTTAAGGAGATTATTCCAGAAAATTAATATTGCCTGGTTTTATCTATACAAAAACCGGCTTCAAAGTCTGTTCTTGATCACTTTTCCATTGGAACACCAAGTTCTCACTGTGTTTTAACTTTTTCACCATCAGCAACCCTTTTAAAACAGAACATTTATAGAAGTTTAGTAACAATCGAGGCTGAAGCCTCTTATGAGCTGGAATACGCTGGAACACCAACACAACAAAACTGTTGACACAGAGAAGCCAAACTCTATCTGGAGAAAATATTCATGGTCAGTTTAAGCTAAGTTTAAATTTGGCCATAATGGAAAGAAAATTGTTGGAGTGATCAGGTGAGGCTTCCAGACCTAAGAAACTAAACTAACTGTTCAATTACACTAGTACTGATACTGATGTGGCACATCTGGATGGTATAACAACAGGCAACCTCCAAATCGCTGAGCAACCATCCCATTCAAGAATCCAGACTGGTTTAAGACTAAACAAAACAGGTAAAAACAAAGTTTTTAGAATGATCTTAACCACCAAATGAGCCTATTATAAGCTTGTAGATTTAATGCCTGAAAAAAACATGACTTAAATTAGCTTAATCATTTCTGAAAAAAAATCCTGTGATACAGGGTAGCTCTGCATGCAAGAACAGAAAGAAAGTACTTCGATATGCAACTGTCTGTACTTATTAGAATTTTATATTAATACTAAAGTACCTCCCACATGCAGTTTTGGTGACCTTTGCCCCCCAGAGCTCTGCAACGAGCCGAGGACGGAGCTCATTCTGGAATGAGTTGTGTCCAAGCTGTCCATATTTGCCAGAACCAAATGTAAACACAACACCATCCTGAAAAAAAATTAAACAATAAACAAAACAGTGAGATCCAGTTATCAGGACCATATTCATCCTGGCAGTATATACTTCTGTGTCTTAAGAATTTGATACCCTTCACTATAAAAACATTAAAAAACTATGAATTACTGACCTTTGTCAGAACCACAGTGTGTTCCTTTCCACAGGAAATATGAACCACTTTCTTCATGTTCAGATAACTGACTGATGTTGGTGTGTTTCTATCTGTATATATTAAAGGACAAAAAAAGGTTTGAGTAGAAATAAAAGAATGTAGTAAAATTCAGAGCAAACAGTCTGAACAAAAGCTGAGGATAAAATTGTCACCTTCAGAGTCTCCCAGCCCGAGCTGTCCGCAGTCATTTCCACCCCAGCCGAACACGCCTCCAGACACGGAGAGGGCGAAGCTGTGTTCTGCTCCCGCAGAGATCAGCACCACAGGGATGGCGGACAGAGTCTGGACATGTTGGGGGGAACCAGAACCAGAATTACCCGTACCCAGTCCCAACTGACCCCTAGAGTCCTCGCCCCATGTATACACCCCACCACCTGCAAAAAAAAAAAAAAATCATAACTTTTTCTAGAAGTTTTTGGACATCTTCACTGGAAAAACAATTTAGAAATAAGTAAAAATGTGTATTTAAGTGTATTTGTCCTTATTTTGAGTAGGTAAATGTGATAGTTTGCTAATGAAATTAGTATTTTTACTCTTAAGATAAGATAATTAGATAATATGCACTTGAAATAAGACAATGCAATTGTATTTTCTTATTTTAAGTGTAAATTGACTTGTTCCATTGGCAAAATGTCTGTTTTACCTCCTTAACGCTAGAAAAATTCACTTATTTTAAGAAAAAATTACTCCTCTAGATTTAAATTTTTTTCAATGTTTGCATGTTCTCACAGTTTTTCTTGAGCAAAAAACTACAAAGTAACAAGATAAAATCTTGTTTCAGCTGCCACCAAATTTAGTGAGTTGTATAAAAGGCAAAGACTGATAAATTAGGGGATGTAACGCCAATTAATTGTTCACTTATTTAAAGAGGGTGGTACTTTTATAATTAGCTACAGCTGAGTAATAATGATAAAAAAACAAGCTAATTTAGTTAGCAGTAAAACAGCAACAGAATCATGTCAGTGACTATGACACAGGGAGAGGAGGAGGAAAAGGTCTCTAACAGCAATCATGACCATTAAACAGTAAACCAGATATCGGCCTTGAAAAAGGAGGGTTGCTGAATCTTTGTTTTTTCAGGATTTAAATAACTCTCAATGGATCCCCTATCTAATGGAACCCAGACTTATTTGAAAAATTGAATAAAACATATCAGTGATTGCAAATAACTAGTTATGAACAAAACTATCTTAAGTAATAGCAGTTTAACCTGCAATATCTCTTATTTCCAAGCAAACGCTGGCGTAAAAGGGATATTTTGAGTTTTTAGTGCCTTACCTTTAGCAAGTGCAAGAGTATGATGGCTCCCACAGGCAATCTGAGTTATTATGATGCTGGATAGAGCTTGGAGAGGGCTGAAAAAAATACAATAAAATTAACAATATGTTCCTTACAGAACAGAACAACACAGATCTAAACTCCCTCTAACCTGGATTGAAATGGAGTGAGATTTGGGTCCATACAGAAGATTTTCCCACTTTCAGACAGCAGAGTCACTTCATCTCCACAACTAACAGCCTGGATCTTCTCATCACAACGCACAAACTCTGTGAATTTAAAGCACATCAGGTAAGAGCCAATCTATGGAAGAGGATTAGGGCCACTGAAACATTTAAAAATGACAGGTAACAAACATGTTAGCATCAAGCTGTAGCCATGTCAGTTTTAGAGATTAGCTCTCTTGTCTTAATTACCTTCTGCTTTCCCATTAATGAAATAGCATCACTGGGGACATTTTCTGTCAATGTGTTACTTGCCCTCCCAAACAACTCAGATCTTTGTCAGTGAAGCTGAGTGTTCTCACATCTCTTCCTTAATGGTATGAGGTGCCCCCAGGGACATAAATCAGAATTAACTTGCATATACACATATTAAATTACACTCTTCCATATAATATACTGAAAACCTCACACAAACACTAGTAAAAAGCTCTCACATAAGCTAGTGAAAACATTTACCTCTTATATAATCTACTCAAAAGCTCT